GGCACGGCTGCCGCGGATGGAACCGAGAGCCGGCACCGAGATCAGGTTCACGGAGCTGCCGAAGCAGATGTACCCCGATGGTGCTACACCGGAGGAGGTGACCAGGCACAGCATGGACCTCAGCTACGCGCTGGAGAAGGTGATCAGCCAGCGATATGCCAGCCAGCCCCTGGGTCTGCTCGGTGAGTGCCGCGCGTCCCCTGTAGGGTCCTCGGGTGCTTTGGGATAATAAAGTCATCGGTAAAACGAGAGTCCTGGGATGAAAAGGGCCGCACCTCGAGTGCTGGGTTCAGCGTTGGGCCCCTCACTCCAAGAAGGACATGGAGGTGCTGGAGCGTGTCCAGAGAAGGGCAACGGAGCTGGGGAAGGGTCTGGAGCAGAAGTGCGCTGAGTTCCTGGCTGAGGGAACTGGGGTTGTTGAGCCTGGAGAAAAGGAGGCTGAGGGGAGACCTTCTGGCTCTGTCCAAGTCCCTTGGAGGAGGGTGGAGAGAGGTGGGGGTGGGTCTGTTCAACCAAGGAACAAGGGACAGGACAAGAGGAAATGGGCTCCAGTTGCACCAAGGGCAGTTGAGATGGGATGTGAGGAAGAATTTCTTTGCTGAAAGGGTTCTGAGGCATTGGAAGGGGTTGCCCAGGGCAGTGGTGGAGTCCCCATCCCTGGAGGGATTAAAGAGTTGTGTAGACACAGTGCTGAGGGACATGGGTTAGTTGGGGACTTGTCAGTGTTGGGTTCAAGATTGGACTTGATGATCTTAAAGGGCTTTTCTAATCTGGGCAATTCTGGGATCCTGTGAAACCTGCGCTTGTTCTGTGTCCCTGTTCCCTGGCACCCTGATGCATCTCTCATCTTTGCGTGACTCAACAGAATAGAAGTTTGTGGCTATTTTAGCAGCTGTACGGCCTGTTCTAGTTGCACCGGTGTGAGAACGTGGTGCTGGGTGTCTGGAGCTGCCAGCCTGGCTGCCAGCCTGCCACGTTTGCCTCTGTCACTCCTGGGTGCTGCTCTTGGAGCCCAGATTGCCTCAGATTAAGTCAAAAGCAGCAATCGCAGGTGGCTGCGAGCTGTGTCCCCTGCAAAGGGTGTCTGTCACCTGATGGCAGCCTGGCAGTTTGTCCGTTCACTGAACCTCTGGGGATGGAGCTTACGGTGTCCTGGGAGCATTGAATGGGGCTGAGCATCATAATTTTCAGATGCTTCTTCCCATTTCAGTGGTTAGGCATTATCAGGTCTCCCAGCAGAGGGTTCCCAAGGCAGTGGCCAGTCCCTTCCCTGGCTGGATGTGGTGGTTTCACTTGGCTGCTGCTTGGCTGGCAGCTAGACACAGCCACTTGCTCACTCCCCACCCAGGGAATAGGGGAGAGAATTGGGGGGCAAGGGTAAGGAGACATGTAGGTTGAGATAAGAACAATTTAATAACTGAAATAAAATAAAACTTAAAATAATAATTATATTCAAATAGTAATGTAAATACTAATAGTAATAAAATAGCAAATGAGTGACACCCAGTGCCATTGCTCACCACCCGCTGACCAAGCCTGGCCCGTTCCCAGATAACGATCCCGCAGGAGCGACAATCCCAAACCGAAACCGCAATCCCGGGAGAGCGAGAGCCTGAGCGAAAGCCAGAGAGAGCAAGAGAGGAAGAGCCCCTCATGAATCTCCTACCCATGGGGGACAGGAGATGGAACAGCCCCTTGGCAGAGCCAAATGCCCATGAAGCTGATTCAGTTCAATATTCCTCACCCCCTGAGATCTTGCGCTTGCAGACGGGCAAACACAAAGTCCTTCAGTGCCAGGGACACAAATGCAACATGGGGATGTTCTCAGAGTTTCTCTCCTAACAAATCTCAGCTGCTGAAAAGAAACCAGCTCCGTCCCAGCTACAGACCAGGACACTGGAGTGGTGGCAGCTCTGCTCTGTGCTGCTGGTGACTCTCTGTGGCAGCATTGCCAGCCCTGCTGCAGAGACACCCATGGCCAGGGCTTAATTACTTGCCAGCCTTTTTTGACAACATGTGATATGAATAAATATCCAATCTGTAGAGGTCCTGAAGTGTGATTTTGTTTTGTGGCAGAATGGAGGGAGAGCTTGGGAACTCAGCCGAGCTGGAGCCTCAAGGCTACTGAGATTTTTTTTCTGTTAACATTATACAATTTATTCTTTATCAAAATTATCAAAGACAACTCTAGGATATACAAAGAATGAATTACCTTAGGAAATGGTGATGCCATCATTCGGGCAAAATAGCTGATGCTATGTGTCCATTGAGATGAACCCTGGCTCTTAATTCAATGAGGAAAAAACATCTGTTAATGTCCTGCTCACCTCTCCCAGTGTTCCCACAGCCCTGGCATTCAAGGGCAGTAGCATTTGCACTGCTGTGTGGCTCTGGAAACCCAGGCACAGGCAGAGTGAATGCTTGCAGAATAGCAGCCATGTCTGACTTCTTATTTGAGCACCATTTGAGAGCACGCGTGACACTGGCAGTCCTTGGGTGGCTGTGTACTCTGATAGCCAGTAAAGTCCCTCTCCAAAGATGATAATTACAGTTACAGGTAGACCTCCCAATGATGCTTTGCTTTGTCTCTAGCTGAAGAGTAGAACATTGGGAAGTAGTGTTTGGAGTGTTGATTGCTATCAACACTCCAAACACTACTGGAAGAATAGTAGAATAACTGGAAGGGCAGAATGCATGGGTGAAAGCCAAACCCAGAGTTCTTTGCAGTCATTTACAGAGTTTTGAGAAGACGTGTACCTTGGATATGTTTTCAGTCTGATGTGCGTTTTGTTTTGTTTCCCTTTGCTGAATATACGCAGGTGAGTTGCAGTTTGCTTTCATCTGCTTCCTGATCGGGAATGTATACGATGCATTTGAGCACTGGAAAAGACTCTTAAACATCCTGTGCCGATCTGAAGATGCCATAGGGAAGTATCAAGACCTTTACATCAATCTCATTTCTGTGCTGTATCACCAGCTCAGTGAAATCCCAGCTGATTTTTTTGTGGACATTGTCTCCCAGAACAACTTTTTAACCAGCACGTTACAGGTACGTTTGTGGCTATCTCTTGAAAAGTGGGGGTGGGAGGAGAGGGCATGCAGGACATCAGAGTAGATTCAGGGAGAAGCTGCAAAAGGAATTAAGCTACTGTTCAGCTGCATGGGAGATAGCAAGCCTATCTAAGCACTTGTGTATTTCCTTTTACTTTTTCCCCTGTGTTAGTTACAAAAAACTGCCATTTGCTTGTCATCTCAGAGTTTGAGCTGCTCAAGCTATGCCTCGAAGAGTCTCATGCAGTGTTAGTCCACATACAAAGAGACCAGCAAAGTGAGGCAGCGAGAGGAAAGGCTAATGAAGATGGCTGCAACAGAGAATGGGGACTGTGGCTTTTTTATGTTTTCCTTGCAAATAGTGCTGACAGTAGCCTGCTGCGTTGACACGCTTTTAGACTTCTGGAGTGGCACATCTAACACGACTGGAGTGTACCAGCATACTTGTTCTAAAATTTTTTAAGGCCTTTGTCTACATTAAGCTGAACAGCTATGAGAGAGGCTGAGCAAGTGCAAGATGATGTCTCTTTGTTTATTTTTTTCCAAAATGCTATTTAATTTCTTGGAAGAAAAATTAAAAACAACAACAAAAAAAACCAAACCAAAACTTTGGCATAAAAGACTGAGGATGCTGAGTTTTGGTCAACTTGAATGTATGCTTAGTATGTAGAGAAGTTGCAGTGAAACCTTATTGAGCTTAGGGCAGTGATAGTATTTAAGAAGCTTTTTCATTCCTCTTAGCCTTAAGCAAAGCTGAAGATTTCCTATAATCAAGTTCTTATCCAGAGGGAATTTATGGTTAGTCCAAACCACAGAAAATGAGACAGGCATGGGCAAATCTGTTTGGAAAATCAGTTACTCCCACTGATTGTATCCGTGCTAACAGCACTGCAAACAGACTAATCAAAACTTGGTTTAAAAAAAAAAAAAAAAAGCCAAAACCAGATGCCCTGGTGAAGCTCAGCAGTGGAAACTTAATCCCAGCAGAAGCAGTAGTCAGTGCTGTTGCAGGTGATTGGTACAATTTGGTAATGCCTTCTCCTACCTCAAGGAGCGGTTGCATTTCTCTACTTGTAACTTCAAGTTCTTGCTGTAGGTTTAGGAACAGGGCAGGTGTTTATCTTTAGTTTACTGGGTAAAATGTTACTGGAAGCATTGCTTTAATCAAGTGACTGTCTTCACTTTTTTGGAATTTGGATTCATAAAAGTCTTGATTTTAAAAATAATATTATTTTATTTTTGTTGGTGGTTTTTTCCCATCCCCTTACGGGACTGGAAAACCGAGCTCTACTTGTAGCGCACTTGGCAGAGCAACACTTTGCACCATCAGTTTACAGCAGTACAAAGAATATATCAACCAGCTGTTCTTTCCATCTGATGGGAATTTTGGAAGCACCTTGTCTTGCCGCTTATCTTTCCTTTTTGGATGCTGGAGTCTTGTACACCCTTGGGTTTCATCAGTCTGTGTTTTTTACTTAAGCAGTGGAAGTTGATGCCTTTAGGGGCTGTGCTGGCTTCAGTGATCACTGTTAAGCCCTAGCAGGAGTCACAGAATCCCAGAATGGTTTGGGTTGGAAGGGACCTTAAAGCTCATCCAGTTCCACCCCCCCTGCCATCAGCAGGGACACCTTCCACTAGACCAGGCTGCTCAAAGCCTCATCCAACCCGGCCTTCAACACTTCCAGGGAGGAGCAGCCACAGCTTCTCTGGCCAACCTGGGACACTGTCTCACCACCCTCACACCAAAGAATTTCTTCCTCACATCTCATCTCCATCTCCCCTCTGCCAGTTTAAAGCAATCACCACTTGTTCTGTCACTACCTGCCTTTGTGAAAAGTCCCTCCCCAGTCTTCCTGGAGCCCCTTCAGGTACTGGGAGGCCGCTATAAGATCTCCCTGGAGCCTTCTCTTCTCCAGGCTGAACAGCCCCAACTCTCTCAGCCTGTCCTCACAGCACAGCGGCTCCAGCCCTTGCATCATCCTTGTGGCCTCCTCTGGACTGGCTCCAGTAGCTCCATGTCCTTCTTGTGTTGGGGGCTCCAGAACTGGAGGCAGCACTTTTCCTGCTGCTCTCTGTTGGTGATGTAGGAAAGAGAAGTACAGCTTGTGCCGCAGCTGAGTCACCACATTCTTAACAAGAAAGAAGAAAATTGCTTTACGGTTGAACTGAGCCTCTCCTTGCTAAAAGTTCTCAGTTTCTGTGCTCCTGTGGGATTTCCCTGATGGGCTGAAACAGTGCCAGGGAACCTCTGGGACTTGCCTTACCCAGTCATTTTATGTGCACAGCCACCAGAGTTAGCAGTCTTAACTGGATGTGGGCAGG